GGGTGGCAAAAAGTCAATAAACGTAGTCACGAAACTGATATGAATCACGAAGCCCCACAACCCAACCCAGCTCCCCTGCTTCTCAATTTTTTGTGGGGGATCAGGAGGAAGGCAGACATATGTTAAATCCTCAGCTCATAGTGACCGTCGCTCCCTCACACCCTCACGCCAAAAACAGGTAACATCAAGACCCTACAAAAGCCCCGGCCCCTCCGCAAAACGCCTTCGCTCTCCCAAACCGCCGAGCCCGCGCGCGAGCTCCGTCCTTTGCCATATTTCAGGGTCCGGAAAAAGCACACACGGGGAAGACGATCCAGAAGGGAGACGAAATGCAAAGAGAAAGGCATTTGCAAGTTTGGAATGCCCTGCTGTTTTCCTGCCCGAGGTAAGGGGTAAGGGAGCTCTTGTCGTAGGACAGGTTGTGACATCCATATGCGTTCTCATCAGGGTTGTTTTATTGAAAAGAGAGGGAAACCGATGGGAGGGAGGAGTGATGTTCTGTTGCAAAGAATATATTGAGCGCTTACCTTGTGTCAATGTCCGTATGGAAAAGCCCAAGGCCGCTTGTGAAAGGGCAGGTGTTTAAATATCCAGGGGGGAAGAGAAGGTGGTTGGAACCGCATGTGGCGCACGTTGTGGCTTAGCCTGCCAGTCACATGACGCCGAGATGAAAACCCTGCCCTCGCTGTCCAAAACATTATTTATTCGCCACCCTCTCATCAACCTGTGTGAAGCATATATCTTCATAATCACGCTATCCTTTGATACTGTTCCGCCTCGGGCCCGTAAGATAAACACATTTCTTTCCTGCTGATTTGCCCATTCCTCGTTTTTCTGTTTGCCACTTGCTTCGTTTTGTGCAACTCGTTCCCCACATCATCCTATGCGGAAACAGACGTTTAGGCAAAGTAAGCAATTCACTGATCCGACTCTTGTTGCGACGCTGACGCCTGATCGCTTTGAGCTTGCGCCTGATGCCCAGAAGCCCCAGACGCTGCATGATGGGGATAAGCCGGCTGTAGAGGCGGTGTGGCCGTTGTGCTCGACTGTTCCGGCTGCAGCTGAAAGGAAAAATACCCTTCGCAGTCAGAGAAAAACATTTTCAAAGCCCCCGAAATGTTGCTTTTCCTCTCTCGGGTTAACTCACGAAAGACAGAATTGGCTGCTCGTCTTTCCCAGTGCGATGACTTCTTCCAGTATGGTCATTACCAGAGCCTGTCTGCGGCTGCTGATGCAAACCTGGCGGTGGAGCCCCGGGCCCACCAGGGTGAGTGGGCGGATACGGGTAGGGCGGCATAGCGCCCGGCGGTCCATGAGGCGGTCCACCTCCACCGGCGCCCGATCCAGGCGGGTAAGGCGATCCATAGTACCCAGGTGGCGCCCAATGCCCGCTTCCGGCGTGAGGTGGGTACATCCCATGCGGCGGAGTCTGAGAAGACGGGCCCAAATGACCTCCATGTGGGCCCGTGCGCTCGGCAGGATGAAGGTGCGATCCAGGTGTGCCTTCCGCGCGCCCTCCGGCCACCGAGTCACCGCCGGGAGCCGCGGACACGTGAAAACCTTGACCAAATCCGTAAGAGTGTGCGTAACGCGGAGGATCGTGCTTCATGGGCGGCGCACCAGGGTGCGGTGGGTGCGGGTAGTAAGGCACCGGCGGCGGAGGCCCCCCGTGAGCAGGTGGGACTGATCCGTGCTCCCCTGGAGTAGTCTGGGTCTGTGTCTGTCCCTGAGGCCCTCCACCGGGCACTTGAGCGGGCGGCGGCGGCGGTCCTCCGGGACCGCGAGCGCTGGAATCGTCGTACGGATGGGCAGGAGGCGGTAGGTACGCACCGGGAGGAGGGCCATAGCCAGGGTGCGACCGATAGTCGCGGTGGTGCCAATCCATCGCGTTGGGATCATGTTCGCGCGGGTTGTACATGTGTGGCGGAGGTGGGTACATGGGCCGCTGCGGGTACGGAACAGGGTACTGCCCTTCGTGTTCTGAACCAGGAGGCCCCATAAGCGGCGGCGGATAAGGGGCGCTTGGGTCATAGTGAGGCGGAGGAATGGGATAGCCGTGTGGAGGCATTCCTGAGTAAGGATCGCCGTGGTAAGGGTATTTTGGTGGCATGCCGTAGTGAGGCGGGTACGGATGTCCGCTTGGGTCGTGCGGCATGTGCGAGTAGTACCGCGGGTCCGGGTGGCCCATAGGACGAGAAGGATCGCATCGATCGTAGCCAGGATGCGGATACGGCGGCCCATGCGCCTGTTTATCTCTTGAATCCCTCTTCTGGAAGGCACAAAAGGGTTATGGAGTTATTCAATCATAGTTTGAGAACGCGTATGATGTTTGTGGCGCGAATTTATAATCCTTACCGAACTCCCGCTCTTATTGCTAGTCCGTCTTCTTTGTGAAGACTCTGGCCGTGGTTCATCCGAATAGCCAGACTCTGACGCGTTTTCGCTCCCATCCACACTGACACGACGCCCTTTTTTCCTGCCTCGCTTTTTCAAATGCTCCGCACTTTCGTCAATATCATGATTTCCCTTTATTCCACGTCCTCTGCGAGAGAAGATGTGAGAAAAATGTTAAGCTTAAGCTTAATTTGCAAGCGTCTGCAGTTTGCTCGAGCACACAGCAATGCTTACTTGCGCATTCGCAATTCCTTCCTAATCCTGATCTTGAGTCCCTGCTCGGCAAAAGTGCGCGAAAGAAATGTTGATTCTGGAACGACATGTGTAAGCACAAGACAAAAAACTTTCAGCCTGAGCTTTCGCTCGCACCACAGTCCTTCTCCTTACCTTCCATTCCAGGGAATTTCTTTGCCGGGTATACATTAAACGCGTCGGAACATATCGACGTGCAGTGGTATATCTCTGTATTAATAATCTCAAACAGCGAGAACTGGAGGCGTAAAAGGAGAGAAGGATGTACCGCAATGAACCGCATCAGCTTTTCGTTCCCTTTTTCCAGCGAGAAATATTAACAGACCCACCTTTAACCGATAGGTGCCCTCCATTCTGACCGACAGGTCGGGAAACACAAAGAATGCGCCGTCCTTGTTGTCCAGATCTTTGAGGCGATACAGCGACGACACAATGGATCCGGTTGTCGAACGCGTCTTGCCGTCGCGCAGCAGATGAAGCTCTTCTTCGCTTTCAGGCGCAATCAGCGACGCATACATGAAATAGTATGGATTGTACAGGTACGAACTGCAATTAACAAAATGATACGCATGGTTAGAAACGAAAACATAAGTTAAAAAGAAATTCGAAAAGATGATGCGTACTTTTCATCGCTAAATGCCGTATTTTTGATCTCAAGTTGCTACACGGATGTGCGAGGGATCGAAAAAGTCAGCCCAATTCGTTTGACGATGAATTGTAACGAGGGAGAAACGGACGCGCTTACAATGATAGGCGGCGGATCCAAGGGCCTGCGGTCGACCTTTTCACCAAACCCGCACATGCGCGAGTGCTTTGGCTGTTGCCTCAACTTTAGGATGTAGTTTCTGCGCAAACCAAGAAGGGTAAAAAAAAAGTTGAGAATCACTCTGCCTGTTGCCACCACCACTCCGCCAAGCGCGAAACACAAACCTGCTGGTACGCGAGCGTGGGCTTTGGTTTAGCGTGATGAACTGATAAGGATTGTTATCCTGAGCATGCGTCGTAGAGGTGGTCGCGACGGGCGCGACAGGAGCAGCGGCTGGCTGACCCTGAGATGCTCCACCTCCAGATGCTGCTTGAGCGGCGGCGGCGGCTGCAGCAGCTGCAGCAGCAGCAGCGGCAGCGGCAGCGGCAGCCACCGCGGGAACGGCGGGTGGTCCGGAGGGAATGATGGCAGTGGGGTACAGGTAACAAGAGATCCGTCGGGGTGTGGGCGCGTTTTCCGCAGAGAGGTTTGTAGAAGGAGCAGCAGCCAGCCAGCGAAGAAAGAAAAAAAAAAAAAGACGACGAGAGGGCAGACAGCAGCAAGAGTAACGACGGCGCCCGACGGGGGGAACCTACGCGCGTTAACGGTAGTAGGGAAGGAAGGAGAAGGACGGAGGGCTGCCCCGGGGCCTGGGGGCTGGGCGGTGTCCGGCCGAGAGAAAAACCTGGGAAAGCGGGCAGACAGGGCTGCACGCCGCCTGTGGGATTACGCCGTGTCCCGGTGGGAGGGCAACGGGGAGCGAGGGCAGTGGGGGCAGTCGGTTGCTGGTTGCTGGTTGCCTGGCGGCGGGCGGACGGGGTGTGGGGGCGTGCGTTTGGCTTGGATTCCCCGTCTCTTTTTTTCTTTCTTGCCTCTGCTGTCTTGCCCCGCGTTGGCGTGGTCTGTGCGTGTTTTGTGTGCGCGCTCTTAACAGATCCCCAACCCGCCCCCGAAGCAGCCGTGGCCCCGGCGTAAACAAGTCCGTATCATGACCCAAGCACGCGGATAACAAACCACGCACACCCCATAATAAACACACACGCCCTAATACGATATCACGCACAAAGGTAGTAGGCAGGGCCAAGTCAAGACTTACGCTAAGTAAAATTTATTCGTGTCCGTCTTTCATCGTGACCTAAACGACGGGCAACAACGGGCACACGAAAGAGCGACCGGCGGTTGGCAAAGTGCCTTCCCAACTTTCTACTACTAGAAATCCTGTACGGATCTGCTCTCGGGCCCAGCAGGGGCCCACAAGCGGCTCGCTTGGCCTTTTCCTTCGCTTCACTCTTTGCTGGTGATGTTATTTTGTGAGGTTGGCCACCTGTCATGATATGGCCGGCCCGCTGGGCCTACCGACCAAACCCAAACCTTGCTTACGCACGCGTTCCCCCATGCCTGGCCCATGGCCCTTGGCTCTTGGTATTTACGGTCATACTGTCGGGGAAGCCCTGGTCATAGGGTCGTCACCGCCGATTTTTCCGTGAGGATAATCTTTTGTTTTTTCTTTTGCTTCTGGTTGCTGGCTTCGCAATTCCAATTGTTTATAATCTCGAGCCACTTCAAAGTTTGAGAAATAGAATGTTTTGTTTTCGCCGGAAGAATTGAAGTCTCTGTGGCGTAGTTGGTTATCGCGTTTGTCTTACACACAGAAGGTCCTCGGTTCGATCCCGAGCAGGGACACTAGAACACGCTGTTTTTTCCTTTTTTTGGAAAAGTAGACAGCGGAGAAGTCGAGGGAAGGAATTAAATTTCCGGAAGGGGTCCGCGAGGACTGCGACATGAATGCCCAAGAACGAGGACACCCCGCTTCGCAAGAGGCCATGTCGCGGGATCGAGGCCTCTTCGTGCCAGGAAGGCCCGCTCTGCAGAACCAAGCGCGAGACTTTCTGGCAAGAATCTCCCAAACCACGCCGCCGATAGAAAAGCGCCCGGTTTGCGGAAGCAAAACCGCTTCGGAACAAGTGTAAGAAGCATCAGATATTTTATTTGGCCAATCCACAAATATGCTACACAAAAACGGGGCGCAACAGGAAATAGAGGTTTTCTTTTGTCTCAAGACTTGTTAGTATTAACGGGAATGCCGCCGATAGCGACCCAACGATTCGGGCGAGCGTCTGCCTGCCAGCGGGCGTATGGATATCGTGCGGCGACGGCGGGCAGGGGTTTGAGAAGCAGATGAGGCGCAGACGAGAGGGTGGCCTGCGGAGTCTGCAGGGCGCGGGCGGCGTGTGTGGGCTGGTGGACGCGAGGCGGCCGGAAGGCCAGAATGGTTTTGTAGTGCGATGGCATTTCTGAAAAGGAGTTGAGAGAAACTTGAGGGAATGTTAGTATTATATGCAGGGCGATGACAGACCGAACTGCTCCTCTTTTGTGCGTGTCACGCGCGCAGAAAAGCGTCATCCGTCCCCAAGCGTCAAACAATAGTGCAGGGCCTCTCCGCGCGCGTCGGCGCGCGCAGCACAGATGAGCCGCGACGCGTGTGGAGATGAAAGGGGGTCGGGGGGAGAGACGCGTCTGTTTCGCGTGTGTTTTGTGTTTCTTTTTTTTTTGTGTTGAAACACACAGACAGCGCATCTCCTCGTCCTCCTCCCTCGTCCTCCTCGTCCCTGCTCCACCGTCGCACCCATACCAAAAAGCAAAAGGGAGGCCCTTTGCGTTTGCACATTAAAGACATATGATAATAATATTCCCGTTCTTCCATTGGCGACATTCAGAGACGAAGGACTCGAGTCAGCTGCTTGCAGAGATTGGCGGGGGGTTCAGCAAAAAAAAGGGTTCTCGCCCTTTGTTTGAGACAAAGTCATACTGCCTTTTACTACTACTACTTCCCCCATACGGCGCCGCCAAATGGCGTGCTCGACTCAAAGCCAACATCTTCAAACTCATTAGGCGGCCAGTGACTACTATTTACGGGGGACGTTGGCTGACTGCTGCTGGTGCCCTGCCGCCGCCCCCAGTGCTACTATTATTATCGCCCTTTTTTCTTTTTGTTGTTGTTTGTTAAGCATTGACCCCCCCCGCCGACCGCCCCCGCGTGCGCATACACCTGGCCCACCAACCATCAGCAGGCGCCTACTGCTTGCCCGACCCCCGACCGACAGTTCGTTTTCCGGTGTGTGATCGCCGCAAGGGGTGTGGGGGACCGGATTGAAAGCCCACGCTGCCAGCCGCCTCTTCTTCATCTCTATATTCTCCCGCGCATCTCCCCCCCGCTCGCTCGGCGCGTTTCCGTTGGTTCCAAACAAACACACACACACCCACCACACACAAAAAAAAGGTCAATCGGGAAACGGCAGAGATACATAGCAGCGGCACGCAGGCTGGCTGGCACCTGCAAAGAAAAAAAAAAAAACACAACAACAAACGGTTGGCTGGCTGACTGGCTGCTGGCTGCTAATAGCTGCTGCTGCTCACGTCACCCCCCTCCCCGCGGCCTCCGCCCGTCCCCTTTCGCTCCTCAAGCTCATTAGTAATATTAAGCGCCTTTGTCCCAGCGCCCCGCCTGCCCCGCCCCGCCCCGCCCTCCTTTTCTCCTCGCACCCGCTACCGCCCTAGCAGCAGCAGCAGCAGATGCCGAACGCCGTGTCGTGCCTGTGGACGGACTGTTCAGAGACGTTTGCAACAGAGGACGACTGCTTTGCCCACCTCACAGCCGTCCACGCGCAGGACGGCAAACAGCAGTGCCAATGGCACCCGCACGAGGCCCGCCCGGTCTGCGGCCAGAACCTGCGAAACAGAGGAAACTTTGCCGACCACGTCGTTACTCACTTTAGCACGGCTCTGAGACCCATTGTCTGCCCGGTAAATTATTGCCCCCCACAGAGAGACGCGTTTTTTTGGCGAGGTTGGCGAAAAACTAAACGTGCTGGTTCCCCCCCCCCCCCCTTCCATTTCTCTACCCTCACAGATATGCCCCGTGCGTTTGCGCAATCGCCAGGACGTCAAGCGGCACGAGAGCAGGCACCAGGCTCAGGGCTTGGAGCCACAGGCGATTGCCGCGGCGGCGGCTGGTGCTGGTGCTGGTGCAGGCTCGGCCTCTGCTGGCAGCCGTAATAATCGCCGGTCAAGCGCCGCGCCGGCCACCTCAACCTCCCTTCCGTCCGCGCCGCCATCTACAAAGCCGCTACCTCGCAAGCGCAAGATTTCGTCACCGGAGAATCGTCGCACGTCTAGTAATAACCCCTCAGCTTCGCCGAGTGTCTCCCACCACAACAGTCCGTTTCTCCACCACCACCAGCACCAGCAACAGTATCACCACCACCACCATCCTCAGCTCACCCAGCCCGGATTACTTGGCGGAACGCCTGCTGCTGGCCACGCGCGCTCAGCATCCGACTCTACCAGCTTTCACCCGGATGTCGCCGGGCACTACCCGTCTTTTGGCAATGGCGCGGCTGCCGCTGCCGCCGCCGCCGCCGCTGCGGCCGAGGGAGAATCCTCATATTTCCCTACTCACGAACGGCATACGTCATATCCGGGACCAGGCTACCCTCACAACCTTTCGCCGCACGTTCCGCACGCAGGATACGGCAAGCTGGCGAGCATCAACACGTCTGGCACGTTTGCTCACCAGCGCGGCGGATCTTGGGGCTCTTTCCATCTACCGCAGTCCCACTATGGCTCTGCGCTCGACAGCACGCCACGACATCACTCGCATACTCCCTCGCCGCTCATATCGCATCAGTCGCCGATGCTTTCCGTGCAAGGCTCAACCATTCATTCGGCTTCGCCAGAGCTCGACCGCGCAGACATGCCTCCGGCGCCGCCGCAGCCGCCGCCGCCACTATCAGGGCTTACATCTATACGCAGCAACACAAAGTACCTCGGTGTAGGGAGTTTTCCCACTCCCATCACTTCAATGCCCGTGGATATGTCGCCATATCTATTTCCGACCCCGTTGCCTTTGTCGAATGCCAATAACGAGTATCAGTCTACCCACCAACAACCACACTTCCAAACACTGCCATCAAAAGGAGGGTCGTCGCAGGATCACTCGCAAGAGGCGTACCCGGCGTCAAACTCGCACCTTTGGGCGCCAGCTACTGGTAATAGTCAAGCCGAGTTGTCGCAGGTTGAGGAGCATCGTTTGTTACCGTTCACACCTGCGGCGACGCAAGACCCTAATACTGGGATGACAGACAGTCGGCAAGACTGGACTTGGAACGCGAGCGCTGCGGGCAGCGCCGGGTCGCCATCATCTTTGGTAGCTTTGACGACTGCGCGATCAGGGGTTGAAAGCAGGGACTTGGCTCAGCGTCTCTCTGCAGATACCACTAACGTGATTATTCGTAACCCACCGAGTCCTGGGAATGTGGGCATCAAGACTAGCGTTATACAAAGGCAAGCATTGGGGAAGCGTCATTGAGGCGGGCTTTCGAGCCTGCACGCGCTGACTTTTAAAAGTCCTCCTTGCTCCGCTGCAGGCTGATTTCCGTGTTTTTCGCCATCAAACCACAAGCGGTGATTCCATCCGAGATGCTCTCTTATATATCGGCGACTGAGAACCGCGGCGGCTATGTGCCCTCGTTCAGGGTGCATGAGCTTTTTATCAATTACCTTACTCCGGCTCTCTCGGCGTCGGAGGGTCCTCTCTTGCTGACCGGCTTTGTAGAGGGTCTTCCGAGCAGGTCCGAGTACTCTTACCGTATTTATCGAGGCCTGACTGCTTTTGCCCGCGCGGTGGGCACCGATGTCGACCTCGCCGACACTGTATTTATGCGCTGCGGCCGCAACGTCATTGCCGCGATTCGCTCCTTTTGCAATTCCGAAGACCCTTACGACGTGGAAATTCTGAGCGAAGGACACGGCTTTGCGGCGGTGATATCGCAGATGCCGCTGAAAGCAGAGCACGAGCATGTCAGCCCGTTGCGCATTGGCGCTGTGCTCCACTTGCGGCGCAACGTGTACCAGGCGTATGTGGCGGGCATTGCGAAAGATTTAGAGTGGCTGGGAGGCGTAAATGGTTGGAAGGCGGTTATGGCGTGGATTCCGGCAAACGATGTCTACGGTGAACGGCCTGCGGGCATGGCGTATTCTGTCGGGCGGGTGGAGGTCCGGTTTGTTCGAATGGGCGAGCAGGCGCTTGTCCCTGCTGCGAACGCATTGGCGGTTTTGGACGAGGGGAACCAAGTCAGAAACCTCAGCATGGAAAGGTATCACCAGCATCATCATCAGCACGATCACAGTGCTGGTGCTGCAGATGCTGGAGCGTCTCTGCCGCATATGCAGTCGCACGCGCATGGCAACAATGGAAATGACCTTGTGAGGCGGCGGTCATCATCTACATGGGCCATGCCAACGCGGCCGCCCGTGTTGTTTGCTTCGCCTCCTGCACCACCTGCGCCGTCGCCGCCGCCACCGCCATCGTCGCCCGCCACGCGATTCAGCAAGCGGCGAAAAAACTGCGAGCCGTTGTTTCCCGCTAGGAAGGCGGACGGTGGCTCTGACGCCTATGCCATGCGGTTACTGTTTTCCAATAGCACCACTACGATCGTGGAGCTGGACGATGATGACGGTGACGCGGGTAGCTACGCGAGAAAGGACTCGCTGACAGATGACAATGAGCACGAGCACGAGCACGAGCATGAGCATGAGCCGCACACGCCGCCTCCACCACCGCCGCTCGACTCGGTATTCTTTGGCGGCGGCGACGCCTCGGCCGATGGCTTGTTTTCCGCGTG